GCGCGGGCCCCGGTGGCCAACCATGGCTGCTGCTGAGGCTCGCTCTAGGTGGAGGGGGCAGGGCTTGTGTTACCGCTCAGCTGCCACTTTGAAAAAATGTCCGGAAGGAGGCACATCGGGGACCCAGAGGTGAGAGCGAAGCCTGTGGGGGGAGGGGATCTCTGGGGAGGGGCACTGACCCAAGGGGCAGCACTGGATGATGCTGGGTGGGTAAGAAATTAATCCAAGGCCAGGGGGATCCCTCAAATCTGGGCACTGGTCCTGGGTTTGATACTGGATGATCCTGGGGGGAAGGGGTGTGTGAGAGAGATGCAATCCATGGGAAGGGCAGCTGGTCAAGGGAGTGGTATTGGAGGAGGGACTGGGGAGGGGCACTGACCCAAGGGGCAGCACTGGATGATGCTGGGTGGGTAAGAAATTAATCCAAGGCCAGGGGGATCCCTCAAATCTGGGCACTGGTCCTGGGTTTGATACTGGATGATCCTGGGGGGAAGGGGTGTGTGAGAGAGATGCAATCCATGGGAAGGGCAGCTGGTCAAGGGAGTGGTATTGGAGGAGGGACTATAGAAGTGCCAGCAGGCTCAAATAGTTGACTCATAGTTTCATCAAAAAAGATGGGAGAAGCGTTTGAGGTGTCACCTTGAAATCTCTCCGATTCAGTAGGGCTGGCCCTACTGATTGAGGCATCCCTATACTCAGCTCTTGGATGAGAATTTGCAGACCCAGCATGCCTGTCCCTACCAAAAAAACATTAGCTTCTACAAGGATAATTAGCAAAAATACCATCTGATAGGAAGCAAAACATTGCACTATTGAAGAGGGGCCTCCATATGTTTCCAGCAACGGTGAGAAAATAAGCCATGGTGATTTGGGGGCTCTCCCTTCCACTGTGCTTTTAATGACTCATGACATGGGAAGAAAACAGAGACATAGTTTCTATTGTGCCTTTTGTATCTAAGTTTGCCAAGTCAAATAGCTCTGATTCCCAACATTGCAATGCCTCTTTTTTGAGTCAGAGACTTTGCTTTATGAAGCAGTAGAAAAGCATGGGGGTCTGCCATAATGACCAGATGTCAGGCACTGGCAGCTGCGGTGTGACTGGAAGCTGTCAGGCCCAGCTTCTGTTTTTCTAAATTTTGTTCCTTCGGTTTCCTGGGCAATGCCGGGTAAGTCCAGCTAGTTACTACATAAAATACAAAGTCTATAGTATTCACTTTATATTATTTTTTATTACAAATATTTGCACTGTAATAAGGAGAAACAAAAGACTTTTTCTCCCCCAGTTTCCTTCATACAAGCACTGAATGCAATCTCTGTACTGTGAAAGTGCATTGGGGGAAGGAGGGTTTAGTAGGGATGTGAATGTGTACCTGGGTACACAGTTAACCGACGAGCGCACAGTTACAAGTGCGGGGAGGGAAGAAGCGGAGAGGTGGGAGCCGGTGCACACTGGGAGCCAGCTTTTAAGCCAGCTCCCACCGAGGTGCCTGCCTCCTCGCCTACGCTTCTACTTCCCACAGAGATAGCAGCGTAGGGAGGTGGGGGAGAGGTGGGAGCCAGCTTTCAGGCCAATTCCCTGTGCATGCTGACTCCCTGCGAGCACGGACTCCCCACCTTTTCCCCTGCAAGTGAACGTGTAACAACTGAACATTTCAGCGGTTACACATCTATACAAATAAATGCATTTTAACATCTCTGTAAATGGAAACAAACTTTTCTGTCTTAGTGACTGGCTGAACAAGAAGTAGGATTGAGGGGACATGTAGACACTAATGTTTTATTTTTGAGAACAGTTAAAAGAACCTCCCCCCAATCTATATTTGTAAGGTGCTCTGCAATAACCAAAAGGTTAAACTTACAGTATCTTCTGAAAATACAGCAGAGATGCCTCATGAATTCTCATGCCATTAGAGTTATTGTTCCCTAAAATCTCTAACACTTCATATGTTCATGTGGCCTAGAACTTTATCTACATTTGGGAATTTTGGGTATAAATTTCTACTGGGTGCTACCAAGGATTATATAGACAAGACTTCAAGATCCTTCAAAATTTAATCTTCACTCTTAGATGTAGCATGTCCCACTCATATCCCTTTTCATACAAGAATCAAGAAGTGTACGCATAGGTGTCCCCATTCCTATGGGTCACCCTCAGCTGGGACTGACTCTTCTCCTCATACACTGATCAGATCCAGCAGCTCCATGGTGCTCCAAGCAGGGGAGCATTTGGAGGGATGGCTAGGCATGAGTACCTGGGAAGACACCATGAGACCACTGCATACTGAGCCAGCACATGGCAGGG